GTATATTCCAATTATTTCGCGGCGTAAATTTTTTATAGTCGCAGCTGCAAACTCTAAGAATTTGCAACTCGTATTAAATATCACTGCGCGACTACATATTGCAAACGTATGCACTTGACAGTTAGATGCGCAAGAAGAAAAATGTGACACATGATATTCTTATTACTAATGAGCACGTACACTGCACTCCACGACAAGATTTTGCAAGCGTTTGCGTGTTATGTATCATGGATAATATGTTATGTAAAAAACGGTAAAGAACGGTAAAAAAAAACGGTAAAGAACGGGAATGAAACAGTAAAGAACGACAATAAAACGGTAATAAAGCGGTAAAGAAACGGTAAAAAACGATAAAAATCGGTAAAAAACGGTAAATAACGGGAATGAAACGGTAAAGAAATGGTAAAGAGCGGCAATGAAACGATAATAAAAACGGTAAAGAAACGGTAAAAAACGGTAAAAAAAATGGTAATGAAACGGTAAAGAATGGGAATGAAACAATAAAGAACGGTAAAAATCAGTAAATAACGGGAATGAAACAGTAAAGAACGGTAAAAAAACGGAAAAGAAACGGTAATGAAACGATAACGGCTACCAAAAATCATAAAAACGATTACCGAAACGGTGTATTCTAATATTTATATCAAAAGTGCAGTCCAAAACTATTCATGTAAGATCTCTCTCTTATGCGTCACAATGTAGCATTTTAGTGCTGTCGCATCGATTTGTAGTTGACAGTAAGATGAATTTAAGATGTGCAGAAAAATGTGAAACCAGATACTATCATGAAGATCATAGTGGTATGTATATTTTGCACGTTTTGAAACATATAAAATCAGCGCATAGTTTAGTCGAGACCCAAGCAGCAACAGATACGGGACACAAGCAACAAATTGACGGCTAAAATGGAGGAAAAATCAAGAAAGATATCGATGGTGCAGTTTTTGCGTGACAGAGAACTCGGTTTGCGGGGAATAAACAAACGCGGTGTGAAAGAAAATATTAAAGTTATCAGGTTTTACTCTCAAAAGTGTTGGCCCCATGACTTAGTGCAGGAGCACATCAATCAAATAGTGGAAGATGCACGTAAGGTCACGACTGAGAATGCAAGTGAAATAAACACTAAATTGAATGAGCTTATAATGCATCCAGACATCAGAGTGCTGAATAATTTTAACCTTCAAAATTTCTATATAAAAATTCCGGCAGGTAGTGGCAAGTTTACACGTATAGTGTTGTTTCATGACATACATTTATATGATGATTTGTGGAATGCTGATATGCCAATTTTGATGATAGAGCGACACGATAAACGCGAACTTTGTATGTGTTATCGGGACAGTTTACAGTGGCTAAAAATAGATGAAATCAGTTGGGACGATGAATCTATGCTTTACACCGATGAAATACGGCGATGTCAACGGTGTCCGTATAGTGAGTCGAATCTGATCTACATGTCTGCACATTAATTGACTGATTGAACGATAAATTGAGAAATTCTCAGTGCAATCTTAAGCATCACAATGCAATATTTTTTGTGCTGATACATCAATATGTGGATGTGGTTGACTGCATGTGCGACATATGATGTTACTATTAAGGAGCACGTTAGGCTGTGCTAATTTTGTACATTTATTAGAACAACCCTCTCCTAACGAGACATGTATGTTAGAAAGAGATAGCGATGGACCATATAAAAGTCACCCAGGAGTCATCGGCAAATAGTCCAAGTCAAACAGACAGAAATACAAAAATGTTATACAATATTGAATTTCGAAGGCCCACATTTCAGGAGGAAGAAGAGATTTTAATACAGAGCTCTCCACGTAAGTTTTTAAAAAATTGATCGTATAATAATGCAGGTTTTTTAATTTTTAAATAATAATTAATCCAATTTTAATTTTTAAATAATAATTAATCCAATTTTAGCTTTAGAGGAATGGGAGGAGGAGATGGAGGAGGAGGAGATGGAGGCTGAGATGGAGGAGTCTGATGAAGAGGAGGAAGTAGACGTACAGTCGGCCATAGGTGAGAGAGCAGACATTTTTTATAATTTGCCATCAAATTTTCGATTTTCCTGTATAGAAAAACGTTAAAATTAATCTTTAAACTTGATTTCAAAAACATATAGAAGTCATCGAAATCGCTGACTCTGAGGAGGAGGAGGAGGAGAAGGAAGAGGAGGAGAAGAAGGAGGAGGAAAAGGAGGAGGAGGATGACGACATCGATGAAAAGGAGGAGGATAATATAGAACTCATTGACATCGCCGACAGCGAAGTGGATGATATAATAAATTAAACATTATTATTATTATTATTATTATGTATTATAAGATATAGAAAACATTATAATAAACAGTAATTTTTTAAAATACAATACATTATCCTTGTGTATCCACGAGTTGCATGATTTATCGAACCCCAACTATTTCGCATAAACCTTATTGCCTTTTCTGCACAACACTTTCTCCACCAAGTACACGTTTGGATTGGCAACACGATGCAGTCCGTACTCGTAGAAACAGGCTATCCGCGAGAATCTTCGAGCAGATAGGTCACAGGATTGGTCGCCTGCACCTTGACGATCCTAAACACCTCACAAGTAACACTAGGGAAGTGATAATCACCGATTTTCCTGAAACTGCGCATATAAGTAGTTCTTCAAAAACTATTAGACACGTATTTTTTTGTTTTCCCCCAAAAACGAAATTTGGGGTAGAAATCGCCCCTAGAAATTTTGGTGGGGGGAAGTAAGAGGTACTTTACAAACTGTTTGTAGGATTCGTATGAAATTTAGTATCTAGGGCTTTTTGGCCTCGATGATTTCGAATTTGAAGTCAGTTTTTGAAAATTCAAAATGGCGAATCCAATATGACGGACGGATTTTCATTTTTTTTAAGGATTTCTATGAAACATGGTATCTAGGGGTTTTTGGCCTTGCTGATTACGAATCTAAAGTCCGTTTTCGAAAATTCAAAATAGCGGATCCAATATCGCAGACGGATTTTAATTTTATTAAGGATTTCTATGAAACATGGTATGTAGGGGTTTTTGGCCTCGCTG